AGTCCGCGCGAACTACACACACTACACAACATCGACAAACAACACGAGCCCCTCCTCCCATCATCGGGAAGAGGAAGAGGGGCAGACCACCGAAAGCGACAACCGTGGATGCATGATACACGGCGAACGAAGAACCTGGGAGACCGACGCCAAGGACCCCACCTTCGACTCCGGCGACGAAGGCCCTGGGAAGCCGAACAGGCGCCCACCTTCGATATCCAAAACTATTCAGGATACTAACTTGCTGGATAATTACAGGATGCGGATCAAGCTCGAACAATTCGAGCAAGCGGCAGCCGCCCTCATCGACCTGGACATGGGTCCCGCCGTTGAAGGGGTGGTACATGCCGCCTTGCACCCCTATAAGTGCCCGAAGAGAAGAGGTGGAGCAAGCACGGGTGCGAGCTCACGAGAGCTCGTCATCCGTGCTCATCGAAGAACTCCCGACGGCGGACCCTACCGCGATACCGTCGACGACTCCTGGTATCGCGCACGGCGATACCACGCCGCTACCCGGACCCCCAGCGGGATCTATCCCGCTGAAGGCCCCGACATCATCCATTGGATGACCAGGGCGCAGAATTACCCGGGAGACCAGCCAGGTGATCTTCCCCTGCCCCAGTGGGCAGGGCCACCGTTATACTACCCGGCGAATAAAGATGGGAGTGAACATCACGTGGACTATAATCCTTTATTATCCTCTCTCTTTTCCTCCTCGGAAGGGACAGCGCTAATGGAATTATCGTCGAGGACCTTATAGGTCCAGATTGGAAGGGGGCTGTGACGGTAAACGTCAAATTAGCGCTGATTATTTAACTTAATTGCTGTCTGTGAGGGCAGCACCTCCCGGGGGGACGAAATAGGTAACGAAGGAATTCGGCACGCAAGCAGACGGAACGCGCGCGACAGAATTTGAACCAGTGAAGCATAGACCATTGTCGTATCCGCCCGCTTTCGCTATCGCATCTGCCGATTCACGTGCCCTTGTCAACTGTACGCCAGCTCAGCAATAACCGAGAGTGCCAGATAGCCGTGACAGCCGCCTCCAAGGAGCCATCCAACCACCAGCTTAAGGCCAAGCAGTGTGTGTGTGTGTGAGGTTTCGCCATCGAGGGCGAAACCACTCCGTGCGCGCATTCGCGACCCGCGAGTAAAGCCAAACAATATGAAAACTGTTCCGTGCTGTGCGAGTTATCGCTGTTTTTCTCCGATCGCCTGCAAACATAAGGTAAGCTGGCCAGCTTAATTTCGCGATCGCAATCATATGAATAATAATTTGATTCTAACATTCGATGCGTGCATGTAACGGCTCTAACAACAAAGAGCAGCGAGCGTACCGGCAAAGCGTGTTATCGACGAGCGAGCGTTCATGTAAACAAACGCGCGGGCCGACCTTTTGTGAATTTTGAGGAATAATAAAGGATACCATTCATATTACTAACAAGTGCTTTTCGATCCGCATTTACCTCATAGCTTCTACTCACTCCCGATTGAATATAGGTTATGTTAAAAATGACTGGGATAAGTTAAAACTATTGAGTTTGTTTTAAAATAAAATGTAATATCATGCAATATGTACAAGGTTGGTCTCATAGTTAGAGACACGGTCTGCCTCAAGCAAACGCTCTCTTACGACTGTACTTATAGTTATGTACAGATACATCTCGCTGCGTACTTAAGCGCTTTTGCGCGTGCGCTACTACATACATCTTATACTCTTGAAATATTAATTCATATATTTTAACACACCTCCTTGAATTTATATTTCTTAACAGTAAACATTTTCAAAAAAATATTCACAGGTTTCAAAAAAATCTTACATTGTTTCTCTTACAATTCATTATACAATATTTAAATCTTTCCTGAACATTTCGAACTTATTTTTACCTAGTGCTTTTGTAAATATATCCGCAATATTCTTTTCGCTCTCAACTTTCACAATATCAATTTCATTCCTTACGTAGCTTTCGTTAATAAAATGAAAATGTGTTTCTATGTATTTAGATTTCTTTGTGAGATTTCCATATTTGGCAATAGCAATTGCACCAGAATTATCTTCATAGATCTTTATAGGCTTAATAATATTTACGTCTAAATCTTTTAATAAATTTTTAATTACTTTTATCTCACTAACAGCATCCGATAAAGCCACATATTCTGCTGCTGTAAAGGATTTAGCTACACTACTTTGTTTCTTTGCTTTCCAAAAAATCGTATTCCCATAATAACGTATAACAAAACCTGTCGTAGACTGTCTATTATTTTTGTCACCTGCCCAATCAGCATCAACGTAACAATCTATAATATTTTTATTATTTGATTTTCTTATAAAATTCAATTTTTTTTCTCTGGTTAAATACAAATATTTCAGTACTCTTAAAGCATATTTATAATGAGTTTTATCATTACAATTTTGAAACCTACTCAAATAATTTACACTATAGCTTATATCTGGTCGAGTACATGTACTGATATACAAAAGTGCTCCAATTAAATTTCTATATTTGATTTCATTACATGCTGATTGTGCTGGAGGTATATGTAACCTTTCCTCCATGGGTGTTAAGTACAGTTTAGTATTTTCTAAATTATAGACATTTCCTAATGAGTTTATATAATCAGTTTGATCAAGGCTCAATTTTCCTTTTTCAAGATCATATTTAACATTAATTCCTAAATACGTTTTTATTTTACCTAGATCTTTCATAGCAAATCTTTTCATTAATTTCTTTTTAATTTTATCAATGACAGTTTGATTTTTTGAACAAACTAGCAAATCATCAACAAATAATAATATATAAATTTTTTTTCCATTCTCAGTTTTATAATATAAACAATAGTCGCTTTCGCTTGTTTTGAAATTCATACTATTAATAAAATTATCAAAACATTCGTACCAAGCTCTAGGACTTTCTCTTAAGCCATACAAAGCTTTTTCTAACTTTAAAACTTTATCAGAATTCTCATTAACATTTTCATAACCTTGTGGTATTTTCACATAAATTTCAGATTTAACTTTTCCATTCAAAAACGCTGTTTCAACATCCATTTGTTCGATATAAAATTCATTTTGGTTACAGTAAGCTAAAAGTAATTTTAAAGTTTGCAGTCTAGCTACTGGTGAATATATGTCTTCAATTATTTGATCTTGTTGATATCCACGTACCACAAGTCTCGCTTTTTTTCTACCATCAGATTTATTTGTGTAAACCCATCTTAAATCTAAAATTTTCTTATCTATTGGTTTGTCAACTTTTGTCCAAGTTTTATTTTTTTCTATACTTTGGATTTCTTTTGCCATAGCATCATTCCACAAAGCAGAATCATTACAATTTACTGCGTCATTATAAGTCTTAGGTGAATCAGCACTAACAGTGTTTACATAAATAAAACTTGTCACTGGTTGACCGTACCAATTAGGTTTTCTTTTCTCTCGCGTGGACTCTCTCTTTTCAAACTTTAAGTTTTCCTTTTCATTATCATTTCCACTTGTATTTGGGCTAGATTTTTTTCTTTTATTAAATTTGTTTTCTTTCTTAATTTTCTCATTATCATAAAATACTTCATCATCACTCATACTCTCATAACTCGTTTCAGATTCACTTTCACTCTCATTATCAGTATCTATTCCTATCCATTTCACATCATCTTCAACTACTTCTACGTGTCTAGCAATTATAATTCTACCATTCATTAAAACTCTATAACCTACGTTATCATAACCAACTAAAATTCCCATATCAGCTTTTCTGTCCCATTTTGAATGTCTTTTTTCTTCCGGAGTTTTTACAAAGATTTTACTACCAAAAATTCTTAAATACTTCATACTCGGTCTTTTTCCAAAAAATATCTCGTAAGGTGTCTTATTAAGAAGTGTATTCGCAATTGAACGATTTTTCAAATACGCTGCAGTTTTTACTGCTTCAGGCCAGTATCTAATATTTAATTTTGCTTCCGATAATAAACATCTAGCGGTATCCATGACCGTTCTATTGTATCTCTCCGCTGTTCCATTTAGTGGATGAACATACGGTGGGCAAGGTTCAAGATATATACCTTTATCTCTGATTAAGTTAAAAACATTGTTATTTATGTATTCTTTACCATTATCGCACCTCAATTTTTTAATCTTTTTACCTGTTAAATTTTCTACTAAATTTATGTATTCAAGAAAACATTGATATACTTCAGTTTTATTTTGAATTGGAAAAATCAATGTACATTTGCTAATGTCGTCAATAAATGTGAGAAAATATTTTGAACCTTCGTACCCGGTATTTCTGTGTGGGCCATTTAAGTCAGTATGAACTAATTGAAGGATTTCTGTTGCTTTTGTTCTATTGTTTTCAAAAACCTTAAATTATGCATTTTGTTTTTGATACAAATTCCACATTTCATATATTCTTTTTCTAAGTTTTTTGGAAGTCCTTCGATTAATTCATATTTGCAAAGTTTTTCTAAATAATTAAAATTTACATGGCCAAGAATCCTATGTAATTTTTCTTTTTGACTTATTATTCCAGAATTATTTACGCTAATATTTCTTTTATCAACATATGACGAAATTTTATATAGACCATTTTCGTTATACGCAGTACAAATTATATTATTGTTTCTATCGTAAATTTCAGATCGATTTCCTTGAGATAAGATTTTAAAATTGTTATTATTTGTAATTCTAGCTAGACTTATTAGATTTCTATCCAATTCTTTTACATAAAAAACATTTTTCATAATTATTTCTGTTTTAAAACTTTTTTGATAAAATGATGTTATAATATTTCCAACTTTTTCGCACTTTATTTTTCTACCATCTGCAATAGTTACATAAATTGGTTTTTCTAATCTTTTAAAATTTGAGAAATAAGAATCATCGTTTATTATATGGTCTGTACAACCACTATCTAAGATCCAATTTATTTGAGTACTTTGACTCTGATTTATGGAATTTACTCTACTATTAAAATTTTTAACATCAATATTTGCATGCAAATAAAACGTCTGTGGTGTATTATCGTAATACCTATTATTATAACTATAGCGTGCGTCGTGTTGACCTTCTTGTTGAAAACTTCGTTGATTGTTGCACTCTCGGTGACCTCCTCGTTGACCGTAACCTCGATTGTTGTTGTTATTATATCCTCTGTTATTGCTGTAGCCTCTGTAGTTGCCGTAGCCTCTATTGTTGTTATTAGTATAACCTCTGTAGTTGTTGTTTTGGTAATTTTCTTCTTGATTGTAGCTGCCCCTTTGACCGCTTCCACGAGAGTTGTTGCCTCGCCAGCTGCCTCGGGTTATAGCACCTCCTCGCCAACTTGCTCGGAAATTCGGAAAAGCATTAGTTTTACAATCCTTTTTTGTATGCCCTTTTTTGTGGCAAATGAAGCATTCAATATCTTTCTTTTCGACTTTAAATAAATTTGACTTTTTATTATTATCTTGGCTATGTTGAATTTCATACATTTTAATTTTGTTTTTTATATAACTGCAATTTTTATCTTTATCTTGTAAAGTATCGACTAAGTCTCCAATGTATGCGAGTGAATCAGGTAGAGTTTTTAATATATAATCTAATTTTTCTTGTTCTTTTATATCTGCTCCAGCACTTTTCAATTCATTAATTAATTTCTCAAATTCACTAAAGAAACTATCGGCATTTTCAAAATCTTTCAGTTTTAATTTATCCAGTCTATTTCTCAAAACTATTTGTAAAGAAGTTGATTTTTTTAAGTAGATTTCATCAAACTTATTCAATATATCAATTGCTGCATTTTCATCACATACAAATTCTAATTGATCATTTGAAATACTTGAATATATTAAGTTCATAGCTTTACAATTCTGCTTTTCCCAATCAGTATCTTTCAATTGTTTTTCGTGTGTGACCACCTCATCACACGTTCTAAATTTCAGTAAAAGTAATAATCTTTTTTTCCAAAGGTTGTAATCTTTGCCATCAAAGATAGGAATTTTCATATCCGTATCAGAAGCCATTCTATACTTTACAACTTTCAAACACAATTTTTCACAACTTTACTCAACGTTCTCGTTCATGCACGTGTATCTATCTTTATATATCTTTATATATCTAATAAAATATTTATTACTTCTTGTTGATCTGTTTTTAAGTTTCAATGTTTCAATTTAATTTTTGTTTCTAATTGTTTATTATTGTTTCAAACGACTTCATTCTCCGATAAAAGGATTTATTACCTTGATATTTACAGTATACTTATCAATATCCTCGGTGTTTCATTACGTTGAGTACTATATTATCTTGTTTCTACTCATTTAGTCGTATATCCTCAAATTTCCATGTGTTCCTGCCAAGCACCGCATGACGGCAAAATTCACAATCGTATTCACTTGCATCTTCTTGATCATTCACTTATTTTTCAACTTTAAAAACAAATTTCAGACAACATTCATTCCTATCTTCTTCATTAACTATGTCAACCATACACTGAATCAACCTCACTTTTAATCGATCACACTATTAACCACGCTCTGCTACCATGTTAAAAATGACTGGGATAAGTTAAAACTATTGAGTTTGTTTTAAAATAAAATGTAATGTCATGCAATATGTACAAGGTTGGTCTCATAGTTAGAGACACGGTCTGCCTCAAGCAAACGCTCTCTTACGACTGTACTTATAGTTATGTACAGATACATCTCGCTGCGTACTTAAGCGCTTTTGCGCGTGCGCTACTACATACATCTTATACTCTTAAAATATTAATTCATATATTTTAACAGGTTATTTACACCTTTCTCGATAAGACGAATTACTGGTTGACTGGCGACTTTCTATACATGCTCTCCGTTTCGTGAACTGAGCATAATTATTTACGCGCGTCCCTTTAGCGTGATTGCGCGATTTAATTAATTAAACGGTCTTACCCCGTTACACCGTATACTTGTTATTGTTAGATGAATAATCAAAAGTAACGTCAAAATCTAACAATCTAATTTAATGTTAATGTCTTTTGTAAAGTCTCAAAAGTGTCAGTGTCCGACGTGTCGATCAACTACATTTCTTGCATCGTATCTTTGTTAGCTTTTACCAAATTATTCACGATTTTTTTCGTATTATTTTCACTACCACCTTTAGTACGGCAACGCGTAAGTTTGTTTGATCTTTTGAAAGGATCTACAACGGACGTACTCGGTGTAACTAAATCATTCCTTAACTTTGATTTATTTTTTATTTGAAGTCGCGTGAATTTTTTGTCTTTATCAGTAAAGTGTTATTTCCCGCAAAGCAAACACTCTATTTTTTTGTACCGGAACTACATGTTATGTCGCGTCTCCATAGACGTGACATTTAAATTTATGAATGAATGATGTTATATTATACAGTATGGCTAATTAGGTTATTTGAGAAACAGGACTTACCTTGGTTGAGTTATTATCTGTAGGTTGGGTTAATTGTCTACTTACCACTATCTCGAGAACATGTAAATCGTGATGAATAAATAAGGATACGTGAACACTCGAAATTCGTTATTCAGACAACTATTTATTTATTCGAAATTAGATAACAAAGTATAAATAGTGAGTTATTTAGTATTTATTCAGCTGTCACGCGTCGCGCGTCGCGAATCAACTGCTGAAAATCACGCTGTAGGTAGTACGTTCATTTTTTTGACCTAGATAAATTTTGCTGAGTTTGGTCAAGTATTGGTGATTCGAGAATTTTGTATTTCGCAAAATAGAAATGACGTTGAATGTTTAACCTACTATCTAGGTTTTAATTCATTGCTGATGTTCTCAATAAAAAATTTATCTATCAGAACGTAACAATATGTTAATGTGTGTTTAATGTATAATAAATTAAACATATATATTTGCATCAACAAATTATTAAAAAATAAAAAAAATGTTCATTTTGTATATTTCAAGTTAATAAGTAGTTGGACCTTGAAAAATCTAATATTATTTTCTATTCAATTTTTTTTATATTCACTACTTTCAGAGATACAACGAATTCAACAAAAAGATCAGTTTTTTGTAAAACGATATGTAGCTCGCAAAAAACAAGTTATATAATAATAAGTTATATAATAATAAATATATAATAATAATAATAAGTTTATATAATTTTCTCGCATATGGATTTTGTAACTTTTCAAACGAACTTTGGAATGATATATCTAGTTTCCTTGTCCGATAACTTCCCACAAAAATATATAGGTAATTCTTGGCTATTTCGATTGACTTATAACCCTTAGGTTACGGATTTTTTTTTAATTTGGCACAATTGTTGTACACATAAAACTGAGATTTTTCCCAAATTTTGGAGACGATACAATAATTATATCATGTAACAGGCTGTCACTTAGTCGATAATCCCTTGAAAGTGCATTTATTACGACTAGACGAAGCCTTGTTATCTCTGTGCTCAAAGCACAGTAACCTACCTTGCCTCGGAGTGCGCCTGCGCAGAGTTTCCTTACTATTCCGAGTTGGGTTCACCCAACTCACCGCTTGGCGGCGCTGTCGCCCCTTGCTAGTAGCGCTCGTGCGGCCGCCGCTGGAACCTAAGTTGTCGTTTCGCGTCTATCGGTATTCGCACGATTCGTGCTACGCAACCGGCGAATTCGAATCCACTGTAAATAAACACTGACGCGACCTCCGGACAAAGGAAAGACTAAATAACGACTATTTGATTCGAAAGTAACGGTTAATATGCACTTTATTCATGCAACTTATTTACACGAGGGTTTGGCCGAGAGACTGACGCCCGCTTGCGCGGATGACAACACGCAGATTGAGAGAGAGAGAAAACCGCGATTTCCGCGAACTAATCGCTCGCACGCAACAAACAAATCCTTCGCGCTCGCTGCGCGGGATCGCACGCAAATTATAATAACAAAAGGGGGAAAAGGTGCACCTACCGCAAGAACGACGAGGATACGGTGGCCAACCGTATCTGACTAGCAAATCGTTAAAACGCCGCTTCGCTGCTTGCCGCACCACCGAAATTACTGCTGTTGTTCTCGTTGCTGCTGCGGTTGCTCCTGTTGCTGCTATAGCTGCTACTGCTGTTGCTACTGTTGCTGCTGTTGCTGCTAATGCTGCTATTGCTGCTGTTGCTGCTATTGGCACACCACCAAACACAAAACTCGGCTCGGGAACAGGTTAGCGCGACGCACTGACTGAGTGACACAGTCATACTGCCGGTCGGAGCCTCCCCTCCTGGTCATTGCCCCTACGCGCTCTCTCTCTCTCGTGAACCGAACGCGGCTCCTCTCGCTTAGCCGCTCGTTAACCTCGCGCGAGTCTAACGATTTTCGGTAATCGTTGCAGCCCCCTCCTAGCTTCGAACTACCGGATCGAACTACCCCATTGACTCGCGACCCCAAGGACAGGATTGGGAAAGGAGAGAAATCAGCACAATCCATCCTCTTTAATACATGGCTTTATTTGCCCATCCCGGGCCACCACTCCCCCACGTCACCTGCCGGAGCCCCCTGGCGCCTTGTGTCTGGTAGCGCCAGTGCTCCGACTTGTTGGGGCACTTGGAGGTCGTGGTTATCCCGGGATGGCCACAGATGTAGCAGCCCTTGCCTGGTCTTCTGCTGAGGCCGGGCTCCGCCCCCTGGCCCTGGCTCCCTGCTGGTGGATGGGGCGGCGTGGCTGCGGCGACCGGGGCGGCGATAAACGTAACGCCGCCCACCGTGGCGGATGTGCGCCCTCCCAGGGTACGCACCACCACGGTAGGGTCGGAAACCGACCCGTCCACGCGGACAGCGAACTCCTGTCCGGCACCGGGGGCCCCCGAGACTCTCTTGGCCTGAGTCTTGGTCGGGGGCTTGGCCGGAGTCCTGGCCGCGTCCCTACTCGTTGATGCCGTCGGTGGTAACACCGCCGGCGGGCCCGCGGGCTCTGGGGACTCCTGCCTCCGGTCAATGCGCAGGAGGGCCTCACCATAGGCCCTCTGCCGCCGGACTACCGGAGTCCACTCCCCCAGCATCTCTTGGGCGCCGCGGAAGTCGAGGAACTCCCCCAGGTGTGCGTGTACCTGGCGCTGGAGTTCCCCGACGAATTCCCACGCATTTTCAAGCTCCTGGAGGCCCAACCTCACGTGCCTCCAGGAGATTTCAAGCCCTACCTGCTGGGGGACCCGTGGGTGGTTGCAGACCCACTGCCCCTGGCCGCAGGCCTCCCTTGGCCTGGGGCACTGTGTGGAGCCGTCAGCCGTCGCCGGCTTGTTCGGCTCTGGGGTCTGCACCCCCTGGTCCGTCGTGGACTGAGATCGACGGCCCTCTTCGGGCCGTCGGTCTGGGTGGACGCTTCCCGGGTCACGGGCTTAGAAGTTTGAGCCCTCATTCCTTCCCGGAGGAAGTCGTCCACCCGCTGGCGCGAGCGGCCCTCGCGAGCGGCCACCTCGACCTGGGCCCAGAAAAACATGCGGACATCTCCGATCAGCCGATCGGCGTCCGGACCCAGTCTCAGGTCGAGCAGCATTTGGGTGGCCGTCTCGAAGGCCTCTTCACTTATGACCAGCTTCCTCTCCATCTGTAAAAGAGAAGAAGTGGGGTTAAGGGATTTCTCAGGTTCAGCCCTCAACCTAATCGTCGTAGTGTCACGCTCGACGCTATTGCTTACGAGGACGTCCCGGTCCCCTGCGCTCTCCTCGCGAACATGACCCATTTGCAGGGGTAGCTGGCAGGACCACCTTCCGCACGTGCTGAGCGGTTCTACGTGGCCTGCCTCTTCCCCTTACCGCATTGCTATCCAGGTCGTCCCCACCTGGTGCCTGAGATTCGCACGCAGGGTTTTTGCGCGGCCTACCCCGGCCTCGCTTAACCGGCGCCTCGATCGGTACCTTTGGAGCCGCCGCGGGTTTCTCACACTCGTTCGCGGGGGCTGCAATCGCGACGCGCTCGCATATCGGATCCTCGCTGGATTCCTCGACCTTCGCTGGCGGGTCGCCTACGCCCTCCTCTTCCTCCAACGGTGTCGAGTCCCCGCCTCCTGGTTCCTCGTTGTCTTGATCCGAGAATGGACCGAAATAGGGCTTGAGGTCCTTGGCATGGATCAGCTCGGGCAACTCTTCCTGCTGGTTACCTAGGCGGTAGGTATTAGTCCCACATACCTCCTGAATCACGTATGGACCAGCAGACTTCGGCGCCAACTTCGCCGAAACGCCCTGAGCTGCGGAAGACAAGATGCAGTTCCGCTTCCACACCCAGTCCCCAAACCTAAAGTCGGCCTGACGTCTCCTCCGGTTGTAGTAGGCCGCCTGACGGTTCGCCTCCTCCCTAGACTTAGAGCCAGCGCGTTCCCATAAATTGGGTAACTGGCGCATGTGCTCACCCCATTCGGTCAGTTCTTGGCCCTCGGAAGCTTCCCGAGCCAACTGATCCTGGGCCCTCCTAAAGGTCGAGGGAGGAGTGGGCTGTCTACCGAAGACCAGCATGGCCGGGCTGTAACCTGTCGCGCTGTGAGTTGCCGAGTTCAACGCGAAGTTGAACTCTGGCAGGTGCTCATCCCAGCTCTTATGGTCCCGCTCCACGTACGATATGAGCATGGCCTTGAGGGTTTTGTTCACTCGCTCTGTGGGGTTTGCCTGTGGGTGGTAAACTGGGGTAAGGGCGTGCCGGATGCCGTTCCTCGACAG